GCCTCCCACTGGACCCCCACACACAGGGGCTGGGCGGCCTCCCACTGGACCCACACACAGGGGCTGGGCGGCCTCCCACTGGACCCCCACACAGGGGACGTGTGGGCAGCCTCCCACTGGACCCCCACACAGGGGACGTGTGGGCAGCCTCCCACTGGACCCCCACACAGGGGGCTGGGTGGCCTCCCACTGGACCCCCACACAGGGGACGTGTGGGCGGCCTCCCACTGGACCCCCACACAGGGGACGTGTGGGCAGCTGAGCTGCAGACACCTGCCCTCCCTGCCACGTCTTCTCCAGGCACCACCACTGGCACCGAGCCAGGAGCCTGGGGAGCCAGCGGACAGCTCCAGGGCCCCAGCCCCAGCCGGTCACGCGGCCACACATTTTGAGGCTGTTTGGAGGAGTTGACAGTGGCCTGCAGATCAGCAGACCTTTCTGGGCGAGGGCTTGGCAGCGCCCAGGAGCTGGTGCTCAGATGCAGAGGGTGGACAGGCGGCCAGGCGCAGTGAGGGGTCCCCTCGACAGAGGCTGCAGTCTCTGCAGCCTCAGAGACAGATGGAGCCTGCCCCAGCCTCGCTACCGAGCAGGCTCCACCTGCACCCAGACAGACAGACAGACACACCACACCACCCTACATACAGGGACCACAGGACAGACAGACATACCACCCTACCCCAGGGACCACGGGACAGACAGACAAGCCACACTACCCTACACAGGGACCACAGGACAGACAGACACACCAGCTTACACACAGGGATCACAGGACAGACAGACACACCACACCACCCTACACACAGGGACCACAGGACAGACAGACACACCACACCACCCTACACACAGGGACCACAGGACAGACAGACACACCACCCTACCCCAGGGACCATGGGACAGACAGACACACCATCCTACCCCAGGGACCACAGGACAGACAGACACACAACCCTACACACAGGGACCACGGGACAGACAGACACACCACCCTACCCTACACACAGGGACCACAGGACAGACAGACACACCACCCTATCCCAGGGACCACGGGACAAACAGACACACCACCCTACCCTACACAGAGGGACCACAGGACAGACAGACACGCCACCCTGCACCCAGGGACCACGGGACAGACAGACACGCCACCCTGCACCCAGGGACCATGGGACAGACAGACACGCCACCCTGCACCCCAAGGACCACAGGACAGACAGACACATCAACCACAGCTGCAAAGGCGCAGGCGTGGGCTGCACAGAGGCCCTGGGGCACCACCTCTGTGTGGTGTGCCCGCCCGGCCTGCGAGACCCCTGGAAGGCGGCCTTCTGGTCACCAGTAACTGAAAATAAAAGCTGAATTTTTTATTAGAAACGGGGAAGGCCATAATAAAGAGTAGGTTAGATCAGGTGTATCGTATGCACATACAGTGAAACCCCTGTGTACACCACTTTTCAACTCTGATCTGAAAATAGGCTAACAAAAGTTGGAAAAAATTCAGTTTATTAAAACGTGCAAGAGTATTGTTTCGCAGGGCAGACTGAGGGGAGGGGTTAGTAGGAACAGCAATGAAAACTTCCTTGTAGGATAAATTAAAATGTGTGTTTATAATGAGCTTAAGGGAAAGGTGTGGATATTTCTGAGTAGAGAAGAGCGTGTTTATAGATTTTTGATGATTGATGGTGACATTCAAAGCCACTTTGGTATTTAGCGTCTTGGATATATTTGAGAGGATGACTAACAGCTTTATTTCAGAATGTCAATATTTACACCACACCAGAAATTACATTCTTTGCAATTATTTACATTTTTAAATTATACGCCAGCTTCAAAACGTACAAGTGATTTAACAGCTTGTCTAAAATCCTTTTGAAAAAATGAGAGTCAAAGCTTTGAAGCCCTGTTCCACTGGCCTCTATATTCAGCCTGAGCAACTCAGGACAGTAACCAGCCTCCTTGACTGCTGGAGGAGGTCAGGGGACAGGACAGGTCCTGGCAGCACCTGGAGGGCCATGCCGAGGAGGAAACAGGTCTCAGCAGAAAGTATCTGTGGTCCCCTGGATCCCTCCGGGAATGGCAACTGAGGAGAAGACAGATCAGACTGGGACCTGCACAGAGGTCAGACAGGGAGCAGCATGGAGATCAGACCCGGAGCAGCGCGGAGATCAGGCCTGGAGCAGCATGGAGAACAGACCCAGAGCTGCACAGAGATCAGACTTGGAGGAGCACAGAGATCAGACCTGGAGCAGCACAGAGATCAGACCCAGAGGAGCATAGAGGTCAGACCAGGAACAACATGGAGATCAGGCCCGGAGCAGCACGGAGAACAGACCTGGAGCAGCTTGGAGGTCAGACCAAGAGTAACACAGAGATCAGACCAGGAGGAGCACAGAGGTCAGACCTAGAGGAGCACAGAGATCAGACCAGGAGCAGCACAGAGATCAGACCCGGAGGAGCACAGAGATCAGACCCGGAGCAGCACAGAGATCAGACCAGAGCTACACAGGGCAGATGGAGAATTGGTGAGGAAAGGCCTTTCAGGAGAGGTAGTGAAATGAGGCAGAGAATGAGTAGACCAACCAGGGAAGTAAATGTAAAAGGTCAGATGTCAGAAAAACAGAGTGCAACCCAGCAGGGTGGCTTGGCTTACACCTGTAATCCTGGCTACTCGGTAGGTCGACCAGAGGATCACCATTCAAGGCTAGCTCAGGGGAAAAAAAAAAGCAAGACTCACCTCCAAAAAAATAAGCTGGGCTCTGGGAAGGTGGCTCATGGTAGAGCGCTCGCCTTGCATGCATGAAGCCCTGGGTTGGGTTCCTCAGCACCACATAAACAGAAAAACGCTAGAAGTGGAACTGTGGCTCAAGTGGCAGAGTGCTAGCCTTGAACAAAAGAAGCTCAAGCACAGTGTCCAGACCTGAGTTCAAGCCCCAGGACTGGCAAAAAAAAAAAAAAGCAAAGCTGGGCAGCAGCAGTACCTTACATCTATGATCCCAGCTACAAAGGAGGTGCAGACAGGATTAGGATACAAGCCGACCCAGACAAAAACAGATCCTATCTGAAAAATGAAGCAAAAGAGAATAAGAGCACGGCTTAAGTAGTAGAATACCTACCTACCAACATGAGACCCTGAGTCCACATCCAAGTATTGCAGAGTGGTGGGGGAGAACAGAGGAGGAGGAGGGGGAGGGGAAGGGAGGGAAGCGAAGGGAGGGAAGGGACAGAGAAGGAAAAAGAGAAGGAGGAAAGAGAGAAGGAGGGAGGAAAGGAAGGAGGGAGGGAGAGAAGGAAGGAGGAAAGGAAGAAGGGCGGGAGAGAAGGAGGAAGGAAAGGAAGGAGGGAGGAGAGAAGGAGGGAAGGATAGAAGGAGGGAGGAGAGAAGGAGGGAGGCTGGCAGGCCAGAGCACACCAAGTCCTTGCGTTGGACCAGGGGCCTGGTGGCGCACCAGACACATCTATAGAATTCTGATTTGGCCTGGGGGAGGCTCCGGGAGGTGTGTTAACTGTGTGCGTTAGACACAGGTGAGGGAGCAAGGCGAGGCTAGAAGGTCAGCCCGTGGCCTGTCCGTGGCGTGGACACCCAGAGGCCGCGTGGCTGGAGGCCTCCTGCGGGGCCGGAGCATGCGCAGGGACACGTGCGGCCGTGGGCTGCGCACCGTGGGCTGCCTTTCCTCCCTCCTGGCTCCTGGCCCTGCTGGGTCCGTGAGCTCCAAGCACCCCAAGGACGGGGAGCGGTGTCTGGCGTTTTGTTCAGTCGGCTTGGGTGCCCTGGCACCAGGGGCTGGCTCTGGACGGCACCGCACGGTGCTGCCCAGCCG